AGGGCAACAAATTCCACAGTGTTACTATATGTAGCATAAAGACTACTTCCTTTTATCTGTCCAAAACCTCCCTCCAATCAGTTTCATGGGATGACCCTGGGTTCTAATGTTATGGGACAGAGAGAAAAATGTCTCCCTCTCCACTTTCTAAACACCATGCATTATTTTAAACACCTCTATCATGTCTCCTCTTACTGTTTTTCTAAGCTAAATAGTCCCAGTTGTTGTAGGTGTTCCTCATGAGGAAGATTTGCCAGCCCTTCTCTGTACTTTTTCCAACTCAGTCATCTCCTTAACCTGATAAGGTAACCAGAACCAAACACAATATTCTAAGTGTAATCACACCAAAAATTTCTACAGGTGGAGGAAGATCTTGGCAGTTCATTTTTGTATTCTGTTCTTAATTTTGCCCAACAAGGAGATTTTCCTAGCTATGCATTGGGCCAACATTTGCATCAAGCTGCCTACCACTACCCCAGGATCCCTTCCTGTTCATTCACTGCTATATCAGATCCCATCGGCTTATACTTGAAGTCTGAAGTTTTTGCTCCAACATACATTACTTTACACTTCCATTGAACTACATTTGCTACTGTACATTTTGATGCCCATTCTCTCAGCTTGGGGAGATCTCTTTGGGGCTCCTCACAACCCCTTTGGGTTTTAACCACCCTAAATAGTTTGGTGTTATTAGAAAACTTGGCCACTTCACTACTTTCTCCTAATTCCAGATCATTTATGAATACGGTGAAAAACAACTGTCCTAACACAAACCCTGCAGAACTCCGCTGCAGGGTTTGACATATCTCCATTGGGAGAAATTGCCATTTACTCCCTCCTTCTGTATTCTGTTCTAGTTAGTGATCCATAAAAGGACCCACCTCCACCACCTTTTATTCTATGACTGCTTAGTTTGGTCAGGAGGGGGAATGTGTTAAAAGCCTTTTGGAAGTCCAAGTAAACAATGTCCATTGCATCCCCCTTGCCTATGTGCTTATTGATGCCCTCAAAGAACTCCAATAGGTTAGTGAGACTGACTTCCCCTTGTGGAAGCCATGTTGATACTTTTTCTGCAGGGCTTATCCCTCTATGTGTTTACCACTTCTGTCTTTCACTCTTTTAAGCAGTTTATCCAGAACAGAAATTAAGCTAACTGACCTGTAATTTCCCAGATTCCCCCCCACCCCATCGGAACCCTTTTAAAAAACTGGTGTTACATTGGCCATTCTCCAATCCTCTGATGCAAGGGCTGTTTTTGGGAGATATTTAATATTCTGGTAAGAAGGTCAATAATTTCATGTTTGAGTTCTTCAGAACTCTAGGATGAATACCATCTGGGCTGTGTGATTATTGACTTTCAGTTTGTCAATGAGGTTGAGTATATTGTCTTTTATTACCACTATCATCCCTGCTTCTCCAAGTCCCCTCCAGAATACATACGCTTAGGAACAAATATCTGCTGTGCCGCCTTTGCTGTGAAGACTGATTTTCAAAAGTCATCCAGCTTCTCTATAATCTCCTTACCACCCCCGCTCCATTTCTTCTTTAATTACATTATTATTGAATGGGCCAACTACTTCTTTAGTTGTTTTTTTCTTCTAGTATAGTTTAAGAATTCTTCATTGTTGGCCTTGGTAGCTGGTTTATGCAAGGAGAAGTTGAATATCTCATGAGCTGGGTGTGAGCAGTATAGGTGTATCTCCCTGACTACTGCTGGTGAAGAAGCATTGTAGGAGAGTTCCAAGCCAGGTCACCCATCCTTTTTTCTTATTCTTAAACTGATCCAAAGCTTTACCATTTGGAATATCCAGAATGCCACAGCAGGGTTCTTCATAGAGTTTGGACACACTGCAAATGTGTCACATGCTTTGATTTTAAACTCTGAATCGCATTCCTTGGTTTTGTCTCTATGAAATTATTCCCTTTGAAGTCTAATGCTTTACCTTGCTTAATGCATTGGGCCATTGCCCATCTGACAGTGTGTCTTTTCAAGCTTGGTATGGCTGATTAATGGGTCATGTTGACAAATGTTGCACTGTAGTTATATCAAAACTGCAAACATAAATAAGTGTAATTGATTTATGTTTCCTCTTTCCAAAATACCCAAGAATGATTGATTAGGGTTCCACAACTGTAGCATCCGCACAAAGCTATAATTTCAGTGAGAAGATAAAGACAATGCTAGTCAAACCAGTCTGTCCTATAAACCAGTCTGTACACAGTGGCTTCCTGCAGATGAACATTTGGCTTGTTCACTCACATTTTATGAGTGGTTTACAAGACAGTGTCATCCATTTGTGAACCTTCCAGGTTTTGCACACTATTTGATACATTTATCTTTTTAGAAGGACCATAGATGGCAGCGCTATTCTTTTGTCTTTGATGTGGTCAGATGGACACAGCACATACTGGGTTAGCCCAGACTTGGTCATGCTTAGAACAGACCTACTGAATTCAATGGGATTCACTGAAATCTCAATTGGTTTATTCTAAAATAATTTATATATATAGCTGGAAAGACACGTTAAGAGATGTTTCAACAATCAGATACTACACGGGGGATAAAAATGGCACTAGCTGCAAAGGGGGTAGCAAATGTGTGCAATGCTGTGATAGTGTCATTTGCCTTGTGAATTACTACCGACATCTCTTAAACATATCACAAAGGGCACGGGTATGGACAGAATACAGTGGGATGCAAACACAGAAAATGCACAGCATTGACTGAGAATGTGAAAAGTAAATTGCAATTCTGCGTATAGCTTACCACCAGAAAGCAATGTTTTATTAGCTCTAAGAGCCATTGATGTGAAAAAAAAAAACAAATCATGCTGACCCACCGACTGATCCATTTCTGCAGGGCTAAGCTGAAGCATACCTGCTACACTCGTATCATTCAGGTGTGATATATCACAAACATTACTATAACAAATCTCCATTTTATTTATCTTGCACAGTCAAGGAGAAAATTAATTTGGATTCCGTGTTACAGCAGGAATTGTAGCATTTCAAGTTACCACAATGCCTTGAAATGTTAACCATGTTCTACAGAATGCGAATCCAGAATCCCAAGTGTGTTAACATGCAGTGAAGGTATTGCAAAAGGACTGAAATATATCTGAAAGGCACGATTTTTTAAAGATGAATACGCAGATCCATGTCTGTGACATGTTTTAGTAATAAAATGCAGATCACAGGGTTGCGTTAATGCAGTATATGTATGGGTGATGTGTCCTTTTCCAGCCTTAATATGTTTGTGTTTCCCGCCTTGAAACAGCCTCTTTATCTGAATCAGGATATTGGTATAACTCCAGCATAGCTACAGCAAGCCCAGTTTAATTATTTCAGTAATCTGTGCAGGCTTCCAGCATACATATACCTCCCTCACGTTCTCTAAAATGGGAAGTTACCTCTAAATTCCCATTCTTTCTGTTTAGCTTTCCCATAGGCCAGTCTGCACCCTAGAATTCCATACTTGTAGCTTATTTATTGTGGAAATGTATGCCCTGACCAGTTTTAAATCTTTTTCTTGGTTCAGCTCCAAGCGCAGTGCTGGTGTTTTATTATAAATGCCAGCTATATATATAATAGTGTTTGGCTTCTTCGCATAAGACATCTCTAATAATTGCAAGGGTTTCAATACAAACACCAAGTACTTGTGCTTCCTGAATGCACAAATAGATCTTGTCTCAAATGTGCTATAATGAAATGACAGAGGCATCCAATGTAGTCTGTTAGATGAACTATTGGATTTAAACCAAATACATGCAACCTCAGAAATTTTTTTCCTTCACTCCTGTGTTCCACTGGATATATTCTGTTTCTAGTCTCCAAATAAAGTCTGCCTAGCTTCAGGTGTAAATGTGTTTTGTGAGCTGCAAATTTGTTTTTCTGCCCTTGAAAATGTCTGCCTTCCCTAGGCCATTTGTAATGAGCAATTCCATTAGCACATTCATCTCAGGGTGATAATGAGAAAAAGTCCTTGCCTACTGGATTCTAGCCGGTTGGTCCAGTTTTGTGATTGTCACCACTGCAATCTATCTGCCATGCTTTTGCAAGTTGAAAATTGGAATTATAGCTGTCTAAGGATCATTCTGAGGCTTGAGCAGGCTAATGAGTATAAAGCTATTTGCATGTTTTAAGTGTTTGGTGCATGATTAAGCATTGTAATAAAGCAGTCACAGTGAGAGAATAGTGCTTTAAAGAATAGTGTTTTAAAGAATAGCACCATCTCCTGCTAGCTTCCATTTTGTTATTTAAGAAAGATTTGAAAGCACAGGAGTTTTCAGTACTATTTTTAATTATATGCAGCTGTCATTAATGATGAATGACATCACTACAGCTTTATGGGAAAACAGATGTAACATTGTAAGAGTGGCTAAGGTGACCTGAAAGTTCCTTTCTCACTCTGAATATCTGTATATGTTTTTATCCCTGGAGAAAATTTTTGGGGTGTGGGAAAGAACACAGAAATATATGTTTTTGGCATATCAGGAGAAAACAGGTTGTTAATGGGTTCCTATTGACTAGTGCCATGACATCATGTTACCTCCCCCGTAGACGTTTTTTGTGACAATTTAGAACAATATTTTGGGAATTGTCCTTTTTGTTTGTTTGGTTGGTAAAGAATGCATGTATGTGCAAATCAAGACATATATGACACTTTAAAAAGCCAGGGGACAACCAAGCACCTGAGGTTCCCAGGTTTTGGGATGTGGGGAGCAACAATCTTGACAGGCAAACTGGTTTGAAACCCTGTACAACACCCTTAACTTGCACAACTTGTGTGTCTATGTACCAGCCTTGACTTAAGTTTAACAATTGCAGTCAAGGAAAGGTGAAGGACAGAAGCTACATCTCAGGTGGTACAACATTAGCATAGTCTGCAATGTGTCTAATTTTCTGGAGATAAGAATTAAAAACAAACAGTATGACAATGTTCCTTGTTTGTCTTTCATTAAACTCTATTGAATACCTGTTCTTTCTCTCCCCTAATGTAGAACTTGGAAAAATTGATCAAGAGATCCATAAATACAATACACCAGGATTTTCTGGCTGTCTGTCCAGAGTGCAGTTCAACCAGATTGCCCCACTTAAGGCAGCCTTGAGAGCAACGAACCTCTCCTCTCACATCCACACAGAAGGGGAACTTGTGGAATCCAATTGCGGAGCAAATCCACAAACTATCAAACCAATGTCTTCTGCAACAAACCCTTGGCATTCAGATTCAGGTAAGGTGGAGACCAACGATTGATACCAGCACTCATTCTTCCATTGCTGTTGTTACAAAGTTATTACTTCTTATTAGTTCTGAATTTATGTTTCAAGATGTTAACTTTGAATTTGGATTCCATGTTACAGCAGGAATCCAAAGCAGTAGGATTTTTATCTGCTCATTGTCTTGTATGTATTTGTTTTAGTTGCTTTAATTTTTGTAAATACGATAAATGCAAGTTCAGAGAATTGTCTCAGGTTTTTGCTCTCAGCACTAAAATTATAGTATTTGTTATCAGTGCAACCTCTTGTACAACCTTACAATTATAAAGGTTCCTTTCAAATCCTCTGCTAGACTTAGGGCCACATTGGATACTATGGGCAGCTTTAGGACTCTCATCCATGTGCTTTTCTTATAACTCTAGGATGAGGGGTGGGAAAATTTTCAGGTAAGGATGGAAGGAACTGGATACAGTCTGGAAAAGAATTTATTTCAAATCAAGGTTGGCAACTTCTGGGGTTTAGAGTCTGCATTGCACCCCCTCCTGCCTGCCCCTACCTTCTCTGCCATGCTATCAAATTTTTCTTCAAAGCAAGACACATGCTCGTTGCACATTCCTCAAAGGCCTTGGTTTTAATGGTCACTTTTTTGCTGTCACTTTCAGCATAGTATAATTTTGCCACTGGAATGGGGAGTATGAAAGAAGTGGGGGAGGGGGCTGCATGAAGACCACCATTGAAGTGCCCCCCCCATTTTAAAACAATGTCTTCCCCCAGCCAAGCACCGCTTTCCTCCTATAAATACCCCCAACCCTTCCCTGTCGTCTAAGCCATGTGGAGTTGAAAAAACACATTTGCTGATGCTGATGCTAAGACAGCATCAAATTTGCCCTCTGAATAGCTGCTTCTGTGCCCTCACAAGTACTCTGCTGCATTGCCAGTCTGCTACGGAAAAGTGCGATCTTGTTTAGCTTGCTGTTACCCATTTCATAACTGACTATCTTTCCTGTTGCCATGGTGACTTTTCACAGTGGCGAAGGAGCAGGAGGACTCAACAAGTCCCTCTGCCACCCTGAACAACAGAAAGCAAAGCAGTCGCTCCCCTTCAAAAGCTGGCTGCCCCGCAGGCTTGTGCAGGAGAGACCAGTATGCAGCACAGTCACAGGCTGGTAGAAGTTTTGGACAAGTGTTGCCATCTATAAATAATTGTTGTAGCAATACAACAATTTCAAATGCTTTTGCCCATGGACTTTATGGCTGAATTCAGAACAGGCAGGGATTATCCCCAGAATTATTTCAGTGGACTGTTTAGCTCTTTCATTATTAGCAGTTTAGCTATTCACAAATTGTATGGCACAAAACCACAGAGTTTTCAAGGACCACAAATGGAAAACACAGATGGTGCCCTGAAGAGCCGCTTTTTTCTTTGTCTTTTTAAAGCCATTTATGGTTTCTTAACCTCTTGGTCTGCCTTCCCTGTTGCTAGAATATGAAAGCTTTTGTGTAAGATATACTGTTTCAAAAATGAGAACATATCTAAGTGTAGAATACAAAATTCCCTGATATTGCCTCCCACACTGATGGTGCTGATCACAACATATTTAATAATGGATTAAGCAACTGTCAGGAATTTAGAACTATCTCAAGCTGAAAATCTTAGTCATATTCAGCAAACATGGTTTAGGGCGGAAGCAGAACCTCTGGCCTGAAAGCTTAACCTGGCCCACTGGACCTCCCAATCTGTGGGGTTCCTTTGGAGGCAGGCTTCAGGCTCCTCAGAAAGCATCAGAGTAGACCCCCCACACACACACTCATCCCTGAACTCAGATTGGAGATAGCAGTGAGGGCTGAGGGGCATCCATTCTCACTACACATAAGCGAGCCCCCTTTTTGTGCACCCCCTTATGAGAAGGAGATGATGCATGTGAAGCACTTCTGCCCCTGCCCAGCCCAAATTTCTGGCATATTCTGGGCTTTGGGTTCACATCTATTGACCACCCATCATGCCAAGCACCCACAATAAGCCCAGTGGAGGGTTGTGTTCATTGCTAGTGCTTTGCTCTCTGCTTCCCCCTAAGTTAGGCCTCCTGGTGGTTTCCCAGGGGATGCCACAGGAAGGAACAATTCTTCTGTCTAACAGCTGCAATCACAAGTTGACTTCATCCCCTGTGACTGCCAGAGAAGCCCCCGCTGTGCAAACAGGACCATGCGCTGAAGTGCAACAGGCTCAATGGCCAGCCTTAGCTGGGATACCATGCAGCCAAGTTCTCTTTGTCCCCACTGGGTAAATAAGGCCTGTGTCCTGAGTGCAACAGGAAGGAGATGTTTCCCTGCTCCCTGTGCTGGAGCAGCAGCTTGGAGCAGAGATGTCCCTCTTCCCTAGCTGCTCCAGAATAGAAGAGACACCTCAAGCATCACAAGTCTGCACTGCATCACCACCCTGGGCAAGGGGCAGTGAAGCAGAACTGTTATCCATGCCACTAGCTGGTGAGGTCTCCTCTGCAGCCAGCAGCATGAATGTCTCCTCTTTCTGCCCTGAGCAGAGGGCAGCAGTGCAGAGTAGAGTGGACCTGTGCCAGCAGCTCCAGAGGAGACCTCTCCAGCCACTGGCATCAGGAGGACCCACCCACTCTGTGCCACCACCTCAAGCTCAGCGTGATGGCACAGAGGGGACCTGTCATCCGTGCTCCAGCTGGAGAGGTGCTGTCTCCAGCAAGCAACATGGATGCTCAATGCCTTCCCTGCCCTCCACCTGAGCATCAGCAGCTGCACAGAGCAGAGCAGTCCTCTGTGCCACTAGCTAGAGAAGAGACCTCAATGGATACCACTTCTGGGATCTGTGCAGTGAGTGGCCAGGGAGTCAGGGAGGTAGTCCACCTCCACTGCATGCCATCAGCACAATCTGCAGCAGGGCTCATGCGAGCAGCAGGCAAACAGTATGCATCAGGGATAAGGGAAGCCACTGGTTGTCTCTCCCAACTGGTGCTTGAGGAGTTTGTGGATGACTGTCAGGGTGACACAGGAGCGTCTGTAATCCTGAATTTGACCTATGGATGGAAAGGGATTCCCCACTCCTGATGTAGGCAAAGCTGAACTAAACAAACCCACGGTCTGACTTGCTGTCAGGGCAGCTTCCTATGTCATATTTCTTCCAATATGGTACAAACATAGCTGTCCTGAAATTTTGGTAATAGGCAAATGCAGTTCATTGATTTTTAAAAGCAAGTGATGAATCAAGTAAAAATTGATTTGTGGATGACCCCATTTCCACCCACCCCCTCCTCAAATGAGCACAAGCAGCTTCAGTTCCATTCTTTGGTCCCTGAGTGACTTAATGATGGTGCTTGAACTTCCCATAAATCTTCCCTAATGGAAAGGAAGTAAAAAAAGCACATCCTTCAGTCTTGCCAGGTTCTTAACACCCCTTGCACATCTTTTCTCCTCCTACCCAATTTAAATACAATCTATGTTCCACCTCTGATACTTCATCAGAAGCTGCAGACAGTTGATGTGCAACTACCTGCCAAAGCCATATATTTTCACTGCACTCCCTGAGAGACCCCTGACTTTCAAAATGTTATGTATTGCCCTGAGTAGAATTTTAATACAGTAGAACAGGGGAAAGATAAGCAGATTCCCTCACAAAGAAAGGCACTGCTTTCCAGTGGAAAAACAGCCTTGATCCAAAAGGACATTGCTAGAAACTCTGCATTCATGGAGTTATCAGGAACCATTTCAGAAGCCAGCAAGTAAATATTTTAATAACCATGTTTGTGGTGTCTCTGTATATCTCACCTTACCTCCATCTACCCCCACTTCACTTTTCTAAAACCAGTATAATATAGAGAAACATAATTTTCCTTAGCTCAGCAGATTCAAGGAATTCAGATTCCTTCTTAGCACTAAACTAATTTTGTTCCCTGCATGACTCCCCTAAATATGTGTATATTTCAACATAAAAATATATAGCCAAAATATATCACTGCCTAAATGGAGATCACATTTTATATTAAAAGCATAGGCATGTTGTGTTATTAAGTTCATTGCAAAGGTTTTTATTGGTTTCCCGAGATTTATTTAGGGATTATGGTTCAAGGCTCTGTTGTAAATGGCCATAGACTGTGTAGCTTCCATTTTGCCTTGAAACTCCTAGTACATTGCATATGCAGAATAAATTCTGTCAAGAGCTTTGATAAAACATGGGTGGACTACATATTTGAATGACATTGTCAGCCATTTACTTTACTTTCAGCTCTGTAATCATTTGCATTGCTCATGTTCTTTAAACTTAAATTTTATCAAAGGTACCACCAATCTTCAAAATGCAAGTCATGTCAATATACAAACTGAAATGCTTACAATATTATTGTAGATTTGCTGTCTGACTGATATGAATAGGTCTATCATTGTGGTTTTGCATTAGAGTGAAGAATGTTAATATTTCTTAATGGCCCATAAAGGTCAGTTGATGTCTCTTGATGAGGAAATAATTCTTGGCAATCTCTCTCAGAAATGTGAATGTGAAGGCACTGGAACTTGAAAAATTACATCCTTCCCCCTAGCTATGTGTGTATGGGAGGTGGGAGAGAGAAAGAGAAGGAACAAAAGCACTTTGAGACAAAAACAGAGGATTTTTCTACCCCAAATGGGATACTTCCTTTTTAGGGACTTGTGTTCAGGGGACGGGCTGTGATTCAGTGGAAGAAGGCGTGCTTTGTGTGCAGAAGGTCTCAGGTTTGAGCCTCAGGTCTAGGAGGAAGCTTGGAATGTCACTGCCAGTCAGTGCAGACAGTACTAGGGGAGATGGATGCTGATCAAGGATTCTCCTTAGTAGCAGCCTGCTCTGCGACATGTGGTGGGTTCATCCGCCAGGCAACAAAATCCGATATGTGTTTGCTCAGCTATTAGTCCAGATGTGTTCAGTGGAGCTTACTTTCTACTGAGTGTGCTTAGGACTAAAGCTGTAACAATTTCAATTGGATATCAGAAAGTGTATGAAATGTGCACAGAACAATTA